TAAAGCACTTGACTGCTAACCAGAAGGCTGGCGGTTCAAACCCACCAGCCACTCCTCGGAAGGAAGGTTGGGCAATCCTACTTCCGTAGTGATACTGCCTGAAACCCAAGGAGGGGTCGCTATGAGTCGGGGCTGACTCGACGGCACATAACAACAACAGCAACAACATACATATATAACAAAACATTTGCCTTTCAACGTTCTTCACATGTACAGTTCAGAGACATTAATTTAGGTTTATCATTTGTTCAACCATCACTCTTACCCATTCCCAAATTTTTCCATCATACATAAATGTTTCTTTATAAGAAGAGATACTATTTTCTAAAAGATCTTTCTAAGGTTAAAAGCAAAGACGAAGAAAAACATTAAGAGATTGTAGTTAATATGCTGGAATCATTTCTGATGGGGATCTTCCCAATATGTTCTCAGTACTATCAGGACAAAGGCTCTTCAAATATTTTTTAACATTCCTTTAATATTCTGAAATGAAATAATAGATAATATAATCTACTGACACAGATAATGAAAAAAATCAATATGATGGCTAATATGTAGGAAAAATATTTGTCATAAAATACAGTAATATGTATCTCAATATTTAAACCATTGAATATCACTAATGAAATGATAATGAAACAATGAGATGCTTGCATCCAGGTACAATGAACAAGTTTGGATTTGACAGGAGCCATAAGAAGCCGTCACATTCAAAGTGAAAGAACAAAGGTGGGCAGATAGTAGAATAAAACCAGAGAGAACTTACAGAGCAAACATATTTGGACAAGAGAAATAATAAAGTAACCACAACTGAAGTAAGAATAACATAAGTACTAAGTAGGGAAAATGAACACAGGTGCTATTGTTGCAAATGAGTTGGGCCTGCTTTCCAAGGAGTGTTAGAATAATTTTCTATATTGTGTCATTGGGTGGGATAGTGAAGGAGTATCTCAGATACATCATAACCTATCCTGATATCTTACCACACATGTTGAGGCAAACATTTAGACTCTACGACCTTTGAAATCTTGGAAGGCATGTTCCTCAAGAGGTCATGGAGAATAGATGATGATTTGAATAACGCAGCAGTGTAAAAGGTTACAGAGAAGATGTGTGGCAGACTTTGTGGGTAGTATCAGATTAGACTGAAATACAACAGGAAATCCCCAAATAATCTCAACATGGAATTTCCACAACAGAGCTTTTATCATTGTGCTGCAAATATTTTTTAAATTTATATAGGACAGCAATAAAATATTTAAAAAAACGTTATTTATGAAATTAATCGACATTTCTGCATTTCATTGGTCTCCATTAATTTAATAATATATCATTTCAAGGCTGTTAAAAGGAGTCTCGAATCTCTCTTTACACATTTGCATTTGGTTTCATTGCTCTTTTACTAAAGGCACCAATGTACTGAAACCCTTTATAGCTAAATTCTTAGAAATGCTATAAGCAATTTAGCTCTTTCCAAGAAGCGGGTATGCAAATCTTAACTGGGTTCAAATCTCTCATAATTACATAGACTAAATTGTTCTTTGCTTTCAAACTATGCTTTTTTTTTTTTTTTTTAAAGAAAGCTCAGTGAACTCTTACAAATGTTGGTTACTATTCCACTGATTTCGAATGTATTATTCGCCCAATCAGGCGTTGTAAATTCAATTCGATCTTTAAAACTAATCAATTAATTGCAAAGCTGATTTGTAAAGCAAAATTTGGAGCCAGTGCTTTTAAGCAGGCGTCTCCCACTCTGCTGGCGTAGTGCCTCCTCTTGCCACAAAACGCCCACTTCGCGGGCGTCATACGTCGAGCGGAAGTGACGCACAGCGGCCGCCGGAGGTGTCGCTTGTGTGTTGCGCGAGAGCCTAGCGAGTGAAGCGGGGCCTGATCGTGGAGCGGGGCGTGAGCCTGTGAAGACATCGCAATGTCGATCGAAATCGAGTCCTCGGAGTGAGTCTGGAGGTAGCGGGTGTTTGCGGACTGGCGCGGGGCGGAGGTGAAGGTTATGGGTGGAGGATGATCAGGAGGGGGCGTCCGAGAGGCTTGGAAGTGGGACGGTGCTTTCTTGCTCACAAAGCTGCGCTTGCATGTAATTGCTTTGGAGGCGGGCCTGTAAGAAAGAAGTAGCTCTCGGACGTGAGGCCCAAAGCTCCGCGGGAGGCTGAGGAAGGACATACCTTGAAGACCCGAGTGTTAGCTCCCGCTGCGACTTCTGACTCACTCTGTGACTCTGAGGAGATCACTCTGGACTCTATGGATTTCACTTTTAAGTTAACCTTCCAAGGAGGGAGGGAGGCGATGATGCACTTTCTAAGCCTTCTTTCTCTTCCTGCCCCCCTCAAGCAGAGGGTATCTTTCCTCCGGTCTGTTGTCTGTTCCTGTGGCCTTCCTTCCCCACTTTTCTCTGCCCAGCACTTATTCAGTATTGTAATATTTGTCTGCCCACCAACTAACCGGAGTAGGTACCTAGGAGCTCTCTTACTTACAGTCTTTGCTTAGCACACCGTAGAGACTCACTTAACTGCTTTTGGGGTTATTGGACAGCTATTTTTACCAGCCTCTATCTGGTGCTTTGAGCGCTGGTGGCGTAGTAGTTAAGCGCTTGGCTGCTCACTTAAAGATCGACGATTCAAACCCACCAGCCGCTCCGCGGGAGAACGATGTGGCAGTCTTCTTCCGTAAAAGTGTACAGCCTTGGAAACCCTGTTAGGCAATTAGGACCCTGCTTATCTTGTAGGGTTGCTGTGAGTTGGAATCCACTCGATGGCAGTGGGTTTGGTTTTGGATTTCTGGTGCTGAATTTGGCTAGTCTGTGAACTATGTGTAGTAACAAAGGAGAGACTGAATCAGGAGATGGAGCCTGGAGAATGATAGGAATGGAGGGGAACTTAGTTGTTAGCTGCCATGGAGTTGGTTCCGACTCATACAGACCATATGTACAACAGAAGAAACACTGCACCAGCCTGCCCCATCCTCACAATCATTGCTATGTTTGAGTCCAGGACTGCACCTTCTGCCCTGTCCTTGCCAACACTCAATAATTAAGTCACAAGACATAAAACATCTTTGTCTTTAATGTAAGAGAGGGAGATGACCTGCCCTGAAGACGTGACATAGGAGGAAGGGAGATGTATTCATTCAACACATATTGAAGTCTGTGTGCCAGTTGCTGTTCTAGATGTTAGGAACATAGGAGTGAACAAGACACAGTGTTTCTGCCTTTACAGAATGTAACTTGTGATTGAGGAGGGCAAATAACAGACAAAAAAATAAATAAGTAAAATATGAAGTTAACAGATGGTAGAAAGTGCAGTGGAGAAAAATAAGGCAAAGAAAGGTGATACAGAGTGCTGAAATGAAGACATCCAAGTCAGGGCAAGAGTTGGATTGGACTGCATGTTTGGGGGCCTGGATGACAGCAAACACTGACCATTCTCCACACCCTGGCTGGAACAGCAGTGGCTGCTGCATGTTTTCTTTATCAGTAATAGCTATTATTTACTAAGCACATTCTTTGCTAGACCTTCTATAAGCGGTATAGGCAGCCCTTTCAACAACCCTACAGGTTGTTGATGTGTTTTAAAACAGAAGAGGAAACCATTTCAGAGGTGTTAACTGATTTGCTTAGCTAATAAATGACAGAGTTCTAATTGAAATCTCAGGCTGTTTCCAAAACTTTTAGTAATTTATGTATTACATTGTGTTTGATGGTAATGACGTTGATTTTGGCTATGTTGAGTATTTGGGTAAGAGTATTATTATGGGAGTACAAAATGGAGGTCGGTGGAAGTATGCTAAGGAAGATAATATGGTACTAGAACAGCAGGGATCTGAGCCTAGCACACCTCTTAAAGGGGTCATGAGAGAGATGATTTTTTAATAGAGCTGCAAGAAATAGTAGTTAATTCCCTTTTGCAGGAATTTTTAAGAAGAAATGGTTGCTTTCATGTTAGGGATGGATTTTCAAGAGCCAGGCTGCCAGATTTGAATCCTCATTTTTCCACATGGTCAAATCGTCATCTGTAAAGTGGAGATGATGATAATACCTACCTCACAAGGTTATTTTGAGGAGTAAATGAGTTAATCTGCCTAAAATGCTTAGAACAGCATCTGGTATATAGTAAATACATAATAAACATTGGTTATTGCTTTACGATTATTACTTCTTCTCTGGGGGAGGGAATTGACCAAATTCCAAACTGAAATTCCTTCCAAGATGTCTGGTCCTCTATACTAGTGTGGGCCAATAGAAATGTAATGTAAGCCACATATATACTTAAATTTTTTTTTAATAGCCACATTTTGAAAAGTAGAATAAAACTGGCAAAATAAATTAATGTATTATCTAAGTGTGTGTGTGTGTGTGTATATATATAGAGAGAGAGAGAGAGAGAGAGAGAGATGCATACATATATATGTATCTATATAAAATATTACTTAAATGTGTAACCAATATAAAAATTATTAATGAGGTACTTTACATTTTTTTTGGTACTAAGTCTTTGAAATCTGGTCTGTATTTTACACTAAGAGCATATCTCAAATTGATTGCTATAGATTTCATAAAATTTACAGTTGAAAAAGTAGATTCTCATTCCCAAGTTGTTCGAGACATATTTAAAGAGTTTTCACTACTGGATCAAGCATCAGTTTTCAAAATTAAATTAAAATCAAGTGAAATTAAAAATGCAGTCACTCTAGCCGTATTTCGGGAACTCTGGTAGCATAGTGCCTAAGGCACTTGACTGCTAACCAGAAGGCTTGTGGTTCAAACCCAGCAGCCCTCGGAAGGAAGATGGGGCAGTCTACTTCTGTAGTGATACTGCCTTGGAAACCCAAAGAGGGGTCACTATGAGTCTGGTCCTAGTTGATGGCACATAACAACAACAGCAGCCATATTTCGGGAGCTCTGGTAGCGTAGTGCCTAAGACACTAGACTGGTAACCAGAGGTCTGGCAGTTCAAACCCACCAGCAGCTCCTCAGAAGAAAGATGGGGCAATCGACTTCCGTAGTGATACTGCCTTGGAAACCCAAGGACGGGTCGCTATGAGTCGGATCCAACTCGACGGCACATAACAACAACAACTAGTCGTATTTCAGATGTTCAGTAAGCAATTTGTCGCTAGTGGCTACCAATTCAGACAGTGAATTGTACCATCAGCCTTTATACAAGGCACAGTGGAGCTAGTGCCTTGAGAGGCGGTCTTACAAGCTTGGTTTCTTTGCAGGCAAATGGGTAGGGGCAGAGAGGAAGGAAGAAAAGGAAAACTGTTACGACAGCATCATCCAGTGAATTTATTCAGTCAGTATGAACAAAATCTTCACAAACTCCCAATTATCAAGCTCAAGATCAAGAACTTTTAACTACTGTATAAATAACTATTTTTCTCTCATATGTTGAAGATGGTTGCTTATTCTTAGGATATTTTAAGATTGTCTTTGGAAAACTGAATCTACACTGTTTTTATTTCACTTGTCTTGAAAGTTTGATAATAAAGGCAGTGGAGAGGTGGTATTTTTGCAGATAAGGAGGCATTGCTTCTTGTTTGCTGTCATAGTGCAGTTCTACTTGTGTTCACCAAATCCCTTTTAAGAAAGTTTCAATTCATTATTTTTTGATTGCCATTTAAAACATATGGATTGAATCATCCTATCTATAGTCATTTAGATTGTTTTGTGCCAGTGACTAAGCTAGGTTTAAAATATTTCACTGAAGTGTGCTACAGTATAATTGTAAGAATTAGTAAGAAACACATAATAAAAAGATCTTTGGCGTAGGAAGTTAAGAAAGTCACCTTGGTATCAACTGTCTTTCTAGCTGACTGGAAGTCATTAGGTGAATTAGTTACGTTCTCTGAACCCCCCCATTCTCCGAGACATTTCAGAGACAGGAGAAGAACTGGATGACCCCCAAGGTCCCTTTTAACTAAGATTCAGTGATTGTTGGAAAGTTTTGCTCACATGTTAAAGAAATTAAAATTAGGTAGTGAAAGGAGAGAATGACTATATAGGAAAAATAAACCTTTCTTTTGTGGCCTTGGTGGTATAGTGGGTAAGGCATTTGGTTGCTAACCAGAAGGTCAGTGATTTGGACCCACCAGACACTCTGCAGAAGAAATTTGAAGCTGTCTGCTTCTGTAAAGATTTACAGTCTTGGAAACCCAGTGGGGTTGCTATGAGTTGGAATTGACTCAGTGGCAGGGAGTTTGGTTTTTTTGGTTTGGGTGAGCAAAATTCCCTGAGCTGGCTGACTTGCTTTTCTCTTTCAGTGTGATCCGTCTCATCATGCAGTACCTGAAGGAGAATAGTTTACATCGGGCATTAGCCACTTTACAGGAGGAAACTACTGTGTCTTTGAATACTGTGGACAGTATTGAGAGTTTTGTGGCTGACATTAATAGTGGCCATTGGGATACTGTTTTACAGGCTATACAGTCTCTGAAATTGCCAGACAAAACCCTCATTGACCTCTATGAACAGGTAAGGATGGTGGTGATTCTGACCCACTGACTGGGAAGCATCAGTGAGCATTCCTTACAGAGCTGTACAGCTGTTACAGCCTTTAAAATTTACGTTGTCAAGTCTTGAGTGCTATTTTGTATTTGTTCCTCTCTTAGAAAAGTCAAGATTTTTTCCCCAACTGAAATTATTTCTTAAGTGATTATTAAATGAGCAGAGTGGGCTTTCTGGAAATAAGAATGTAGTGTTGTTTGAAGTGAACTTAGGGAAGTTGATTTTTCTCTTTACAACACCGTAAGTTCAGTAATTCCCCAAAGGAATGTCAGTAACTAGAGAAAGGTTTCTCTGAAGCCCATGGAGATATTTCTATCTTTAGTTTTCTTCAGCATCTGTGTTCCAAACAAGGGGCCTGAGAGGAAGGGAGATTGATAGGTTAAAAATGAAGGATGGTTAATTAAATAAAAAGAAATGAGCTATTAAAGCACAAAGACCTGGAGGAACTTTAAATGCAAATTGTTAAGTGATAGAAGCCAGTCTGGAAAAGCTACATGATTCCAACTATACGACATTCTGGAAAAAGGCAAAACTATAAAGATGGCGAAAAGTTTAGTGCTTCCCATGGAGTCAGGGGAAGAAGAAGAGGAATGAATAAGTGACACACAGGGCGCTTTTTGGGGGGCAGTGAATCTGTTCTATATGACACCATAGTAGTGAATACATGATGTTATGCATTTGTCAAGCCTGTGTCGAATTCCACAGAACTGTGCAACACGGAGTGAGCCCTAATGTAAACTATGGACTTTAGTTAATAATCAGTATTGGTTCAATTGTAACAAATGTCCCATGGAAGTGTAAGATATTGATAATGGGAGAAACAGTAGCATTGGAGAGAAGGATATATGGGAACTCACTGTACTTCCTGCATAATTTTTCTGAAAACCTAAAACTGTTCTAAATTATAAAGTGTATTAAAAAAAAAAAGATGGAGTTTGAAGATCTGAAAGAAGTATTACCAGTAATTACATCACTTGTCCACTTGAAGTTTCTAGTTAAAAGGAAAAGCATTTCCCAGTATTGGAAATACCTCTGGCAGACCATATCTGCATCAGAAATTAAGTTGAAAATAAATATATTAATAGAGAATATGCTGAAACACACAGAAGGACAAATATATTAGTCCATTATTGTAAAAAGTCAAGGAAAGGTTTATATATAGAAGAAAATTTTCTTTGTTGGGTACCAGGGGTGGGAGGAGAGAGGAGGGAACACTGCTAGATAGGCAGCAGGTATTGATTTGGGTGAAGAGAAGGGTAATGTACTAAATGTGAGCGATCAACACAGTGGCATTGAGGAAGAGGAAGACATAAAGAGGTACATGGGAGGTACTGACAACAAAGGTGAACCCTTTTGCACATACAGCACTATGTTGTCAGTGAAGACAAACATGGGTCTACAGGTGGATAGACGGGTGGACAGGCTAAACTAGTAGGTATGTCTGTATAGGGAGGAATGTGCCCATGGCCACTTATAGGGTTGGCAGACAATGTTTCTACAAGTGTATTTGTATGTTCTGTAAGAATTCCCAGGTATATAGTAGAGCTGACAAGGGACAAGGTTGTAGTCACTTCTTGGCCATAGCCAGCTACCAAAAGGGAGCAAGTAGTTGGACCTGTGGGCTCAGGACAATGGTCGCAGGGTAAATCAAGCTCAATTGACAAAACATACTACACAAAAACATTGTTCTACATCCTACTTGGGCGAGTAGCGACTGGGATCTTAAAAGCTTGTGGATGGCCATCTAGATGCAACAATGGGTCTCTCTTCGTCTAGAGCAAAGAATGAAAAAAACCAAAGATGCATGGAAACAAATAGTCCAAGGGACTAGTACACTATGTGATCCTCAGCCTATACAACTGTGGGACCAGAAGAACTAAAGGGTGCCTGGCTACCACTGTCAGCCACTCGGGGATTTGTGTAGTAGATCCTGGATAGAGTGGGAGAAAAATGGGGAACAAAACTCAAAATCATTTAAAAAAAAAAAAAAAAAGAGGGACCAGGTTTGCTGGTCTGATAGATCCTGATGGAACCCCTGAGACTATGGCCCCTAGATTCTCTTCAGGTCTGGAATTGAACCCACTCCTTTGGTTTCCCTTCCAGCCCCACAAAAGACAGGCATATGAACATTTACATTAGGTAGATATACTACTTGGAGAGATCAATCATGGGAGAATAGAAGGGCTGTGTAGCACAGGGAGACAGCTTGCTTAGGGGGCAGAAGTGCATGGGAGGGAATTCCAGACACTGGGAAGAGGTAGCTATGGGGAGGAAGTAGGAGGAGAGCTGTTGCATTGTGGGAGATTACAGTCAATGTCATGAGACAAAGTGTATGTGAACTGCTGTATGGAAGATGAATTTGCTATGTATGTAGACTTTTTACCCAAATCACAATAAAATTAAAAAAAAAAAAAATGTTGAAATAGCCATTTCCTTTCAACAGGTTGTTCTAGAATTGATAGAGCTTCGTGAACTGGGTGCTGCCAGGTCACTACTGAGACAGACTGACCCTATGATCATGTTAAAACAAACACAGCCAGAGCGGTATATTCATCTGGAAAACCTCTTGGCCAGGTCTTACTTTGATCCTCGTGAGGTATGACTGTGGTAGTGAAAAGACACTAGTTAACTTTGAAAATATGTGATAATGTGATCTTTTTACCTTTTTATTGGACATTTTTTGTAATTTTGAGTTAATGTTTGAGAATGTTTTCTGTTCATATCTATTAGGTGAAATGTGCATGTTAAAGAAAATACTCTTTTTTTGTTTTTGAGTATTTGAGGATCCTCTCTCCCACACAGTCTCCATTTTAGAGGATTGTGTATTGGCAAGTAAAAAGGCAGGACATTTTATCCTAATATTTCTACATTTGCCCAAATAGTTATCTGGCCCTGAAGTGCTGCATGACTGCTGGTATGTTCACTGCATTGGTGGCTGTTGCCTCTGACAATTGTAGTTTTCTCTCAGCTCATTTAGTCACTAGAAGCTTGTGCTTACACTTCTCAGACGACCATGCTGACTGGTTGAGTCTTTTCTTCTTCCCAAATCTTATTGTATGTATAGTTTCATTCTTTCCTACCCAGCCCCCTTTCACTAGAGCCTTGTCTAAGTTGGAGAAAGAAGAATTTAATAGGCACTGGATAATGGAAAGTTAAACTCACAGAAACCATGACAGTAAAGGAGTGTAGATTACCAGGCCAAAATTTAAGTTAGTGTGAAGAACCTCTGGGCTGGAAGTCATTTAATGGAAAGAAATTACCAAGGAATATAATAGAATCCTTGGCTCTGCCAGTTTTTTAAGAACTGGAGAACAACTCTGGCTTTGACATGGTTTACTTGGACTCTTTTCAGAAGTAGTAGTGTGATTGACTGACCTTCCAACTTAAACTTTATTACACAAGTGAGCAGATTTGGAAAGTCTTAAAAATGAAATTGGTTTAATTAATCTGTGTAGCTGGGTAATTTCTATTAATAGTATTCTTTGAATGTTTCTTCTTATTTGTGTTTTTTTTTTTTTTTTTTAAAGAAAGAAAATACAACTCATATCTTACAGCTGCTGCATGGAAATGATGTTATTGCCTCTCCTTTTTTAGGCATACCCAGATGGAAGTAGCAAAGAGAAGAGAAGAGCAGCAATTGCCCAGGCCTTAGCTGGGGAAGTCAGTGTGGTCCCTCCATCTCGTCTCATGGCATTACTGGGACAGGTAATTAAAGGCTGGTGGAAAAAAAAAATTTTTTTGTGGGGGGGGGACACTGAAATTACCCTGAACTCCTCATACTGTGTCCTTTGTACTAACTATATTTATGAATAAAATAAATGAGACATACTAGAATTGGACCTGCTTGTTTGATACCAAGAACTGTGCCATGCTGTCCTCCTCTCTTAAAAGGTAGCATAACTTAAGTGGTTAATAGCAGAAGCTTTAGAACGATTAGAATAAGGATGACCATACAATTTATCATCGAATCTGGGAGGACACTTTTGAAATTGAAAGGGGATGCTATTGATGATTATGTCAGGACACACCAGTTGCAAACTAGAACTGTCCTGGGCACTTTGGAACAATTGTGAGAGAGCTTAGCTGTCTCACTCACCAGCTAATGTGGCAGATGAACTCACTGTGTAGCATACCAATTTGCTCTTAATCTTTCTGTTTTCATCATGGTTTCTCACCTACACCCTCACCTCTACCTGGTTTTCCAGAGCCCAAGACCTCAACCTTTCTAAAAAATAAACCACCTGACTTCTCTTGAGGGTAGGGCAAGGTAGTATTAGGGTTGGGAGTGCCAACTACTTTTTATATAGAGACTTTTAACCATTGCCTCTGTTTTCAGCCTCATGCCATACCTTCTCCTTCAAGTGTATATGGTAGCTTGAAAAAGAAAAAATTTGCCAGGTAGTTTGCCTTTTTGTGGCTTTACCACCTTAGATAATTAGGTTTCAGTTTTCTCTGTTCTTGGTTGCCACTGGCCCATTCATTTTTCATCTTGTTACATGGGCTTTTCATATACTCTTGTTTTATCCTTAGACTTTTTTCCTAATTTTTTCAGTGGGTGAAATTGGCAGTCAAAGTTACATAGTTGGCAAATGGTCTAGGCCATGACCATATGTGTCCAAAGTCCATGATTTTTCTACACCCTACAAAGCAGTCTTGTATCTTGTTGCAGTTACAGCATTTTTGGAAAGCAATCCTTTTGCCAAAACAGTTTGGCAATATGTATCAAGAGTCTTTAATAACCTTTTTTAGATTCAGTCATTCCTCTACTAGGAATATAGTCTAAACCAGAAAAATAAACAGTTGATTCTGACTCACAGTGACCCCAGTTGGGTTTCTGAGGTGGTAAATCTTTATGGAAATAGATTGCCTCATCTTCCTTTTGTGGAGCAGCTGATGGATTTGAACCGCCACCCTTCTGGTTAGCAGTCAAATTGCCTTAGGCACTTACCACCAGAGCTCCTTAGGAATATAGTCTAAGGGGAAAAATCCTCCAAATAGAAAAAGATCAGATGTTCATTGCAGCATTATTTGGGTAAGTGGAAAACTAGAAGCAGTGTAAATGTCCATCAAATATTAGACTATAAAACATCCACTGGAGAGGAGATATCTATCTATGTGTGTGTGTGTGTGTGTGTGTGTGTGTATAATTTGTGATTTGGGTCAAAGTTTACAGAGAAAATTGGTTTTCCATTCAGTTCATAAACATTTTGTTTTACGACATTGATTGCAATCCCATAATACAGCATTATTCCCATTTCCTCCCTGTGTTTACCATTTCTCTTCATCATTCTTTTTTCTTCCTTCCTGCCTTCTGAGCTTTATCCCTGGGCAGAGACTTCCCTTTTGATCTTATATGGTGGTTTATTGTAATGAGTGTGTACCTCCCTGGTTATTCTCCCTATAGGCGTATCAGGAGCTCTGGTAGCATAGTGGCTAAGACACTTGCCTGCTAACCAGACGGCTGGCGGTTCAAACCCACCAGCCACTCCTCGGAAGGAAGGTTGGGCAATCCTACTTCCGTAGTGATACTGCCTCGGAAACCCAAGGAGGGGTCGCTATGAGTCAGGGCTGACTCGACGGCACATAACAACAACAACATAACAACAATAGGCGTATCATTTAGTTGTAAGTTGAAGTTCATTTCCAGGCTTGAAGGGTATCTAAGAACTATAGTGTCAGATCCACTAGTCTCTATCAGACCAGTAAGCCTGGTCTTTTTTCATATTTTTGAGTTTTGTTCCACATTTTTCTCCTACTCTGTCTGGGACCTCCTATTCTCATCCCTTTCAGAGTGGTCAGCAGTGGTAGCCAGGCACCATCAAGTTCTTCTGGTCTCAGGGTCATGGTGGCTTGGGTTCATGTGGTCCATTAGTTCTTTGGACTGATTGTTTCCTTGAGTGTTTGATTTTTTTTTTCACTCTTCCTTCCTCTTGACAGGGAGAGACCTGTAGTTGTAACTTAAGAGATATGGTATGCTTATGTAAGATGTTTGTGGGGGTGGCTACTTCATAGTACCAAAAATGTTAATGGTGACTGTGTTTGTATGTTGGAACTATGGGAAATACCTATTTTCCAAATTTTGTTAATAATAAAAAGGCCATACCTATGTAGGTGTGGGACAGATCAACTGTTTGGCTCTTAGTTTTCTCCTTTCCCCCACTGAGGTGTCCTTAGGACATACAGAGAAGCTCAGATTATGCTGAGTCTGGATGGCCAAAGATGATTAGGAGCCTGAATGATTCTGTTTCCTCTGTAAACTTCATTAATTCAAGCTTGGCTTTTCTTTAAGCAATCAAGATCAGCCCTTAAAAGTATCTGAGTGAATTACAGTAGATTTTGTTTTCTCACAGGCACTGAAGTGGCAGCAACACCAGGGGTTGCTCCCTCCTGGCATGACCATTGATTTGTTCCGTGGCAAAGCAGCTGTCAAAGATGTAGAAGAAGAAAAATTTCCTACACAGCTGAGTAGGCATATTAAGGTAGGACTCTTAGATACTTAGTTGGTCAGTAAGCATTACTCAAAACAGATTTACTGCCATCAAATCAGATCTGACTCATAGCGACCTCTCCTTGGGTTTCTGAGGCAATATCTCTATGGAAGTAGGTTGTCCCATCTTCCTTCTGAGAAGTGGCTAGTGGGTTTGCACCGCCAGTTTTCTGGTTAGTAGTCATATGCCTTAGTCACTACGCCACCAGAACTCCCCAGTGGCGTTGTTGTTGTTGTTGTTATGTGCCGTCGAGTCGGACCTGACTCATAGCGACCCCTTCTTGGGTTTCCGAGGCAGTATCACTACGGAAGTAGATTGCCCCATCTTCCTTCCGAGGAGTGGCTGGTGGGTTTGAACCGCCAGCCTTCTGGTTAGTAGTCAAATGCCTTAGTCACTACGCCACCAGAGCTCCCCAGTGACATTAGTTGAGCACTTTTCATGTGGTCACCCAGGTGCTGTGCCAGAAGCTTAGACAAACAGACCTCACTCTTCAGCTCTGGAAGAACATTCAGGTTTGCTGCTGGTGTCTACTGGGGTACACTGCTGTGGCCTAGCAGTGGCATACCTCAGACCTCTTACCAAATATAATCATATACTTGACTTTTGGTTCATTCCCAAGAAGCCTACATTTGGAAGAATGGATAGCTCTTTAGGTTTAGCTTGGGACTAACCATGAACTTTGTAAACATTTGTATGTTTGCCTACTACAAATCAGGAAAAATTAGAGGTATGGCATGTGAAGTGCATTTATCTAGTCATTGAGGAGAGTGATTTTATTACCTTCTGGCTGGTTCTTTTTTTTTTTACCTCTGGGTTTTTCTAGGAAAAAGCATAATCAAGTAATTGTTGTAATTGCCAAAATTACAAACACATTTTTCCTTTAGCATCTTCTCTCTGGTTTTGTGCTGTAAGTGAATGAATGGATTTTAAGATATTTTATTTACCTCAAATACTTGACTTTGCATTAATATTTTAGATTTATCTTTTCCTCTGTTCTGACTTTCATATAAAGATATTTTTTAGTAGTACCGTTGTTTACCTTGGCTGCAGCCTTGAAACAAATAGAAGCCCATTATAATTACATAGTTGGACAAAATGTTCTTTGAAAACACTTCCTTTTTTGGCATTTAAAATGAAATTCACAACAGATCTTTTCTCTTCCCATGTACCTGATGTTCTATGGTCTTCATCTGTTGTTGACAGCAGTAAGTACTCTGCATTTTCCAGGTGTCAAACATCTTTCAGCTTTAGTTTGTTTTTTTAGAATTAGGCAGCCACACATTATTATTAAATTAACTGAAGGTCATGAAAAGAAATGGTGATGGGAAATTTGTTTGTCAATAGTGTAGGAAGACATAGATTCATTTAGAAAGAGTACTTTTTTTCCTAGGTGCACATGACCATATTAGGTTGAATGTGAAAACCATGCTCACGGTGGTGGTGGTGTGTTAATGTGCCGTCAATTCGGACCCGACCCATAGCAACCCTTCCTTGGGTTTCCGAGGCAGTATCACTACGGAAGTAGATTGCCCAACCTTCCTTCCGAGGAGTGGCTAGTGGGTTTGAACCACCAGCCTTCTGGATAGCAGTCATATGCCTTAGGCACTATACTACCAGAGCTCCTATGCTCACAGTAGCTAGTTCTAATAAAAACTCAAGGTCTGAGCTAACAGGTGTATTTGTTCTATGTTAAAATATAGAGTAAAGTCTGTGTTAAAATAGTGTTTTCCCTTCCTTTGAAAGGGAAATTCTGCTGAAAGTCTAGACATGGTAAAACTGATCAGATAAAATACATCATTTCCCTGTGTCCAGGTTTAGAAACTCCCCTCCAATACTCAAAATGGGACCGGCCATAACTGTTATTCTATCTAGCATACTCTAGCAGTAGGGCTTGTCACAGGTTAAAATGAGAATTGTTTTAAGGCCACTAGATAAAATACATCCGTTTCATTGTTTCATTTGAAACAGTTTGGTCAGAAATCACATGTGGAGTGTGCTCGATTTTCTCCAGATGGTCAGTATCTGGTCACTGGCTCTGTTGATGGATTCATTGAAGTATGGAACTTTACGACTGGAAAAATCAGGAAGGTAAAGTATTTTAAATATATTAGTTTCCCCAGTGGGAGATTTACTGACTTTGAATTACTTATCTTCATCTCTCTTAAGTCAGATGAAGTTGAGGAGAGATCTGTCTATAATGAACATGGAATGCTTTTGTAATTTTCAAAATCCATTTAAAGTTATTTTTAATTAAATTCTTTATTAGTAATCAAGGAAAGAATTTTATCATCTATCATTTTTACAATTTAAATTTAATTTATGTTTTGAACGGGCAATACGCAGACTTCATACCATTTAAAATATAGAAACAGTTAATCAGTAAAGAGTTTTGCTCTAGCCCTTGTCTCTCAGCCAGTCATTTCCCTTCCTGAGGCCATTTGTGGTTACCAGTTTCTTTCTTTTTAATTGTGATTTGGGTGAAACTTTACAGAGCACATTCGTTTGTTTTTTTTTAATTAGGATTTGGGTGAAGATTTACAGAGTAAATTCACTTTTCATACAGCAGTTCACATATACTTTGTCTCATGTC